GTTGAAGAATATCAGAGAGTGGACAGGAATAAAGAAAGCTGAGCAACTCTTTAGAATAGCTCGAGACAGAGACAGTTTCGCCATGTTAATTGCCAACGTCAAGGGGACTTGATAGGGCACGTTAAGAAGAACCTGTCTTGATACATTGTTCACCTTTGTTTTTTCTCTGATCCATGAGTTTCTTTTCCTGTCTTTAAGACCGATACCCAGCATCTGTCTTTCCATCTGTTGCTTTTGCAATCCTGTCTTTAAGACCGATACCCAGCATCTGTCTTTCCATCTGTTGCTTTTGCATCCTTCCAGATGATTTTCTTTATAGTGTTGAGTATTTTTTTATCTTTTTTCGTTTTTGGTAGCGTTTCCGCATTTGTTATATGGTCCAAGAAAAATATTTTGCACATTCTTCGATAACACCACATCTCAAAGTTAATGAGTATTTTCTCTGTCACCTCTGTAATTGTCAAGGCCTCAACTCCATACAACAGGACAGAGAACACGTAGCATCTCAATACTCTAGTTCTAATTTCAATGTTGAGTTTTCCATTGCATAATATTGCTTTCATCTTATTAAAAGCACTTCTAGCTATCTCAATACGCCGTTTTATTTCCGTACTTCTATCCCATTTTTTATTTAGTTCGCAACCTAAGTACTGATATCTGTGCACCCTGCCTAAAAAATTTTCCTTTAGCATAAACACTGTCTTCCTCAATCTTGTTCTTACTTACCACCATGATTTTTGTTTTATTTGTATTCAGTGCCTCTTACGTTCTGCACATACGATGACCTCAATATAACAATTGGGATCATCCTGAAGGGGAGAGAAGATATTCTGTTCAATATAGAACTCGCTGTTTTCCCCCTTTCGAATTGGGTATGTATATTCAACTAAAGAAAAGAAATCAAAGCCAGTGGACTGTATAAAACTCTATTTAAACAAGCAGATAAAATTAAAAACATAAATATGCATAACCAAATATACCATTATAATTAAAGAAGAATATATTTCTTAAAGAAGAACAATATAATACAAACTTAACTATTAGCTACTAAGAAACACCAACAGACACACCAAAAGACAACCATAAACAAACTACAACAAAAATGTCGATTCTATAAAAAACCACTGACAAAACAAAAGACAAAACCTACCATAGCCGCAAACATACTTTACATAAAATGATAAAAGATAAATTAGTAATTTTACAAAAAAATCAACCTAAATAAGGATATAATATTTTAACGTTGTAAAAACAAATTAAGAATGCGGTGCATACAAATAATTAATAAGTACAATTATTAATACAAAACATACAAGAAATAAAATCGGTGTTAAAAAAAACAAAAAAATATACAATACAGTAAATAAACCGAAACAAATGCCAAATGTCCAATTGACAATGTTCAATCTCGATCGCGGCACAAATGCGATGAAGTTCCAAAAATCAAATAAATATACCAAGTGCACATACTTGATATATACAGCAACAAATTAATATGGTGTATTGTTCCTTACCCCATGAAAAAGATAGCCCAACGCTATCGCAAATTATGTCTTCAGCGACACGTCAACTACCAAAGTTTGTGATGCCCATTAGCGTCTTTCTTGGCCGATGCGGAATCAGGTACTCTTCGTCTTCACATACACATGTTCATCGTTTGAGAGATACTGCTCGACTCTTTTTGTGTTTGAAATGCATCCCCTATGGTGATATTTCGCAGATGGCCCGCCTTGCAATCTTTAAGCCCTTACAAAATAAACCACGTTTTACAAAATAACCCACGCGTGGGCTGCGCGTGGGATGTGCTTGGGCTGTGCTCAATTTGCGCCGGGCCTAAAACCGCTGTGTCACTTACAGGCAAATCTGGTTTAAAATATACGAGAAGAATAGAAATTATCAAAAGTCTGTTAATACATTTACAAATATTTATATACAGTTGCGAAACAGTGCCATTCCATAACTTTCGCATTATTGCTATTCTGATTGCCTAATTAATATGTCTTCATTTACTTTTTATAATGCCTCTTTAAATAATTCTTTTGAATACATATTAAAAAGTAAAGGGAAAAGCACATATCCTTGTCTTACTCCACGGCTTATAGGTATTTCTTTGATTTTTGTTTGTCTATTCATATTATTTCTTTCTAATATCGGTATAGATTGGCAATGATTCTCACGTCTTCGTCATCTAATTCTGTGTTCTGTAGTATGTTTGTCATTCTTCGGTATTGTCCTTTGTCGAAAGCTTTTTCGAAGTCGACCACACATATGAATACGTCGCAATTGACATCTCGACATCGTTCGATTAGTGTTTGTACATTAAATAATGCTTCTCTGGCGACAAAGCCTTTTCTGAATCCTAATTGGTTTTCAGCTATTCTATCATCTAGCTTTTTATAGATACGTTCGTGTATAACTCGTAAAAACATTTTTAGAATATGGTTCATCAAGCTAATTGTCCTGTGCTCTTCACACTTCATTGCGTTTGATTTTTTGGGTATTGGAGTGAATATTGATATTAACCATTCGTTCGGAATCTGTCGAATCTGTCGTTAATTTCATCTGGTCCCATGGCGTTCTCATTTTTATACGTTTTAGCGCTTTCTCGTTTTCGTCTTTGGTGATTGGTGGCCCATTTCTTCCTTTTGGTTCAATGACCTCAATTTTCTCGTCGTCTTCAAATAGCCCTTTTGTGTATTCTTCCCATCTGTTTATTTTACCTGTACATTCCGTTATTATCTTGTTATGTTTATTCAGAATATTTCCGATACCGTTCTTCTTGTATATGTCAGCTGTCTCTTTGATTTCGCCATACACAGTTTCGCCATGTTAATCGCCAACATCAAGGGGACTTGATAGGGCACCTTAAGAAGAAGAAGTTAAAACTGTCATGTTGTTTATCTAACCTTTCTATTTCTTCACACTTTCTTCCATTTATCTGTTGTTGTCAATTGCTTTTGCCTTTCTACTTCCTGAACTTCTTTGTGCACTTGCTCTTTGATTTGTTGGTATATATCAGTTTCTTTTAGTTTTCTCAGATTGATTCTCGCTGTTTTGGCAGTTGTTTTTAACTTTTTTAACTTGAGTTTCATATTTGCTAGAACTAGATTGTGGTCACTTGTTATATCTGCTCCTGGGTACTCTTTAGAAGATATTATGATATTTTAGAATCTTTGATTTATAGGTGCTTTCCATGTATATATTCTTCAATTTGGGAGTCTATACCACGTGTTTTTGATAATGAGTTCATTATCTTTGCAAAACTGAACTAGTCTTTTACCTCTTTCATTACGTGTTCCCAATCCGTGTTTTTGTATTACCAACGTTTTGTTTGTCATTATAGAAGCTGTTTACTTCTTCCTCTGTGCTATCAGATGTTGTGCATACACTACAATGATGTTTATGTTGCACGGTATAACGTTTAATTTTAATAGTGACATTTTATCCGTTTTCGGTATGAATCCTTAATTCACAGTTAGGTTAGTTTATAATAACAGTAAATTTTGTCAGCTCTTCTTCTTTATTCAGGTTTTGTATTGGTCTATCAGTCTATCTTACGATATAGACTTCCTTAAATTTTTCCAGGTTGCTATATATTGTCCCGTCTTAAGTTTTACCGGTCGTTTTCCTGGTGTCGTCACATTATTTATTATTTTCCTTTTGCAGACTTAGAGTAAATGCTGACCTTGCTCCTCTGCACCTACGTGTAATGAGAATCGCTCTAGAACTGCAGTTCTAAATTTTTTGTGTATCGGAACTCTTTTAAAAAACTAAATTTTGAACGAAACATAAAGTCCTAAGCTAAGAGAGAAACCAGTTGGAACACAGACCACATATTGACAACATTAAAAGTGAAGCCAGTATAGGAATCAATGTAATGAGGTCCTTCTGTAGAGTTTGGTGGGGTGGAGACCCTACAACATTGCTTATAGGCTATTATGGACTGGTAAGATCTTATCTTGACTTTAGTAGTATATTTTTAAAGCCATCAAGCAAGCAAACCCTACAAAAACTAGACACCATACATTATCAAACACTAAGGCTAATTCTAGGATGCATGAACTCAACCCCCTACAGCTCTGTGAGCAGAAACAGGGGAGGTTACCCTAGAATTTAGAAGGAGATGGCTAGCAGCAAAATTTACCTCAAAAATTTATAGCTCCCAAAAGCATTCAATATTGGAGTTAACACATAAAGTAAACCAGGCTGTAATAACAACTTTGGTTACTGGAGACAGAAAAAGCGTCCATCTTGGTAGAAGCACTAGATTTTCTAAAACCATATAAAAAAAATAGTCCACAAAACAGATGTGATAGCTGACTTCATACAAAATTATGATACCTTATATGGTCAGATCCCATAATTAACTTTGTTGAGGATCTTCCTCGTGATCTTCGGCCTCCTATCTTTCCTTGGATAATAAGTTTTTAAATGTTTTCTGTGTCTCTGATCTCGTAACATGTCCAAAGTACTTTAATTTAATTAAATTATTTCAGGAAACTAAGTAGGAACTTTAGCGCGCTGATTCCTGTTTCCCAATCCAAAATTTCCCAGTGATGTTTCTGTTTCATCTGCCTTTTTTATGTGTACGTTGTTTTAGTTTTACTACCGACTTAATGAAACAAGTGACCCGATTTCAGTTTTGTCAGACTTTTCTCTCGTTGTTTTACCTCGCTAACGCCTATAACATTAATTTAATTTTGGACATTTCTGCTTCCATGTATATGATTCTTCCTTCTGTTATAGGGATTATATAGCATTATATGTAACCACGTTGAGTTTTAAGGGTTTTCTAAGTTTGTCTGTTGTCAAGTTTTCTATGTTTACTTGTCAGAATCTTGGTCCCTCAGAATCCGTGGGACAGACGAGCAGATTAGTGCGAGATTCTGGAAATCTCATCTGGCGTAATATATTTTTAGATAATGACATTTTCATGGTATTTTAGGGGTAACTGTACCTTAACCAAGTAAAAACCTAATCTTTTATATTTTCTTTTTCAGAATCGACTTCGTCGACATCATCAACAACAAAAAGACCCCGTCCAAATATTTTTGATGGTACTTCTCGAACCCCTTTTCTACGCAGAACTACCAAAACTACAACTACAACCGAAAATCCAACCTTGGGAATACTTACACGTCAAACAACATTGTTTGAAAATGACTCTGTCGGAAAACCGATCGAATTAAGGGACGTAGTTGTAGCGATCCAAAACCTACAAAATGCGCCAGTTCCTTCCCGTACAATTAAACCACTAATGGAACAGAATTTAATTGATACTAGCGAATATGAAGATCTTATCACAACAGAAATTTTTATCACTACTGCTTCGCCGAAAAGGAAAATTAGTTCAAATAAATCAACGATACGGAATACACCTACAACAGTGGCTTCAAAGCCGACAGTATACTCTTTTAAAAAAGGTTAATTTTTTACACTAAACTAAAAATATTTGTTTTTTTTTTTGTTATACTTATATAGATAGGGTACTAGGGTACTTCTTTAGGGTGGGCTTTCCTACGACGTAAATTAGCAGTTCCACCTTTTGACCTTTTGAGAGACGTTTATGTGTTTGTTATATGACTGCGGATTGTTTTTTAAGAATATTTCTTATGGCTGAAAGAACATTTGGTCTTTGTTGGTCATTTTACGTATGACCAACAACTAAAAACTTTAAAGTGATTGAAAGAATATCGAGTTTGTTTACTGTATAAAGAAGTAGCGAGGTTATAAATTTGTTTTTGTTTTGACCATAGCAATTGTCGCAGTATAACCATCGAGCAAAAAGATAAAAGAGGGAATGTAAAGGTAGTGGGGACAACAATATTGTTAGACAGGAAGTGCCATCTTGAGAGGCCACTTTAAACAAGGAAAGACAGTCTCTTTCCTTGTTTAAGAAGTCAAATTTAGTTTGGTTATGTTATTGTTTGTCCCAACTGTCACATGAAATTTTATTTATATTGAAGTTTTTTACCAATTATGTCACTTTTTAGACTATTATCGTTAATATTTAATTAAAGCTTTCTTGTCTGAAAAATATTTTACAGGTATTGTTAACAAGTGTTGGAAAATTTAAATTTAGCGCCTTTGCATTTCCGGATATGTCCGCCATCAGAGGCCACTTTTTTGGTCTCCTTTTCATAACGATTAGATTCCCTCTTTTATCTTTTTGCTCGATGAGTATAACACAACAGGAAGGCCTTTAGAGCATGCATTTTAAGAAATGGGTATAAACCGTTAGATTCATGGTTACCTTCTCCTTCGTAACAAACGTAACATACACCATTCAATAATCCTAGGTCAAATATAGTAAAGTTATACACACCTATTTAACTTTCATTAATAGTAAAAAGAGTTGGTGTCTGGAGAACTTCCTGTAAATCAAAACAGAAATTAATACACTCTCGTGCTTTGCTTCTTTGCTTATCTTTATATTTTTTATAGGTGACAGATCTTTTTCTTTTAAATGACGATCATAATTTTCCTGTAAATGGACCTTACTCTTCGCATTTTTATACTCTTCACACGTACCGCACTGATTTTTCTTGGGATAGAAAAATGAGATATTGAATTCATTCCTAAAAATTCGTGAGAACATGGTGATATTCTCATAACTTTTATTTTCTTCCGTACAAATTGTTTGGTAACCTCTAAGTAGATGTCAGCTATTTACTGACAGCTATCTCTATAGATGTATTTTGACCGATCAGTCATTTTTCTATGACAAATTCACAAAAAAAAAACACATTTTTAACAAACAAAAAACACACCACAATTTGACTTTCACAATAATGTGACAATGTTATTGTCGAGGCCTACTAATATGAGTAAATAATAATAATATAGCACTATTAATTTAAAAATATATATACCTAAATATTACTGCAACACTGGCATAAGTGAGTTGTTACACTGTTGCTGAATAGAGGTCCAAGGACAAAACTCTAAGGCCCTCCACTTTCCACTAACCTGACTTGTGAGAAAGATTCACCCACTGTAACTTTGTAGTTTAGTTCTCTAAGAAAATCATATATCCAACAAAGTAAAGTACCAAGAACGCTGAAATGTTCTAGCTTATGTAGAAGTCTGCTCTTAGGAACACAGTCAAAGGCTTAAGAGAAATCTAGAAATCCATGTTGTTGTGTTGGAACAACATGTTCCTGGAGAATTTGGTCATCTTCTGGGAAGTAATGACTTCCATAGTTTTGCCAGCTAATCGGCCGATAATTGTTAGGGTCGAGTTTGTTGCCTTTTTAAAGTATATAAATATACCTATGTATCTATAGTTTTTTAGATTGTGTTTTGACGCATTTCAATACTTGTAAAAGTCAGATGAAATAAAGAATATTGATTGATTGATTGATTGATTGATTGATTGAAACATAGAGGTGACGGATACTAATTTCAAACTAGGCGGTAAGGAATACTAGATAGAAGAAGTCTGCTTAATTAACGTTAAAGATATTGCAAGGGTGTCTGTGCATATTTTTAACAGTTTTGGTGTTAAACCATCTAAACCAGGTAAAGCGACTGTGCAAAGTTTAATTAAGTGTTGTTTGACACGATCCACTGTGAATTCATCTCGAGGTAAGGATGCCCCGATACGATTACACTTAAAAGAAGGAAGATTTATCATCATTCTGGCTTTACAACCCTGTGTGGGTCCTAGCCTCCTCAAGAATTTCTCTCCAGTTGTCCCTAACCATCACCTTTCTCCGCCAAGCACGTATTCCCATATTTCTCATATCATCATCGATGTTATAAAGGAACCTTGTTCTGGGTTTTCCTCTTCTTTTCTGACCAATGGGTCTATCAGTGAGCGTTTTTCTAACTGGATCATTTTGTTCAATCCGCATTACATGTCCTATCCACCTCAGATGTCCTATCTTCTGATATCTCAGACGATATCAGTTTCCTGGTATATTTTATGAAGATTTCATAAGAAGAAGAACAATTCCAATCATGCTGTTGGCCACTGTAATGCCATAATGATATTATGGTCACCTTCTTTATATAGTTCAACAGGGACATTATCTATTCCGGGAGATTTGTTTCTGGATAGTTTTTTAACTGCCTCTTTAACTTCAAGAATCATTGGTGATTCCTCTTCCATCTCGTCGACTTCCTTTACCTCATCTCTTTCTCTTTCGTCTTTCAGGTTTTCTTCTTCTTCCTGTGGTTGCCTTGAATTCTATTCTGTTAATGTTAATTTTCTTATAGAATGCTCTGAATTATTTCTCTCTGTTAAGGTTTTCTATATATTTAAGTTCCGTACTTAGGTGGTTTCGTTTTTTTCTTTTGTGCATCCTCTTTTCTTCTCTTCTCTTTATCTGGTAATTCTCTACAGTTGTTCTGGTTCGTCGGTTAAGTCGGTTCGTCTTCTTCATTTGCTTGTATCTATTTTATTTTCTTGTATTACTGGTGTTAGAAGGTAGATTGCTATCATTAAATCTTTTAGTAAAAACCTATGAAAATGCTAAAAGGAAGTAGAGAAATGGAAACTTTAGACGTCTAGGAGGATCGTATATATTTTGCAAACTTTTTTAATGTTATGTCATCACTTTCAATAAAACTTGCTACATGCTAAATATCTGGAGAACAAAAAAGTTAATCAAAAAATAAATTCTTTCTTGGGCTGTGTAATATACGATAGCAACCTATTAAAATCACATGTATACATTAACATCTTTCAATTTATCGTATGTATGAAAGTAAGGTTGATTATTATTGCCTAACCAGCCGCATTTTTGGGAACAATAGTCTAATGATACTTTTAGTCTAAAAATCACTCAATAAACAAAAAATCACTTGTTATGTGATTTTAACAATTCACATTGTCACAAATTCTCTTTACTAGATTATTTTCTTCAAAAAATCGAAATCTCTTCGCTTTATTAACTAATATATTTCATTTGTTTTAGGTTCAAGGTTTCCCCCCGAACAAGTAAAACATACTATCGCTTATACAAAACCATTCTCTGCAGAACTTTATCCTACTGATCGCATCAATAGAATCCACTCCTCTTTGGTCCAAGTTCCACAATACACTGATCTCAATAGATTTAACAAATATGAAGCGTATATGGATAATACTGATATAACTGATCAACTTCCTGAACACAGTAAAGTCCTGCTGCACAGTAATGGCGTTATAGAATGTCTAGATCAAGGAAACTTTCCTCATCCTGCTTCATGCAAGAAATTTATTTCGTGTGCAAAAATGGAAAGAGGAAAAATAATAGGATGGGAATATACATGTCCGAAAAATTTAAGTTTTGATCCTATTGGAGGGATATGCAATTGGGCAGCTGATTTATCATGTGATGACAAATAATGTACATAATTATTTAGATGTAGATTTTATTTTATAAATAAAAATAATATAAGACTTCATATTTAATTTATAATAATAGGTTCCCTTTATAGCGCTATAATAGTACGGCTTAGGGATTATACATGATATAAGGAGGAGGAGCGATTAATTACAGGAACCCGATCCGTCAACTGCGCATGTGCAAATATTTGAAATGACATCAAAAGTGACAACGATGGACAATCTCCAACCTAAAAAAATCTGAGCAAGTTTATAAAAACGATTAGGAATAAAAATAGGAAATTTTACAATATTTATTTCTACAGGTACATAGTTGTTACATTCATAACTAAAATATAAAGAATAAATAACTTGTACTCTGAGTAATAAGAAAGAAAATCACATGTATAATGTATATTGACGACTTTGATATTAACCCTCCAAGATTGTTTATTTTGTTGTAGTAGCTTATTTAAATTGTTAACTTTGCACCAGATAGTTTAAAATATTTATGAAATAAACAAATTATGAATGAACTAAATTTAAATGACATATTACAGATAATCTTGTATGGGTTGGCAAAATCGTTGTCTTCAGGTGGATGTTTTCAAAAGTTGTCTCGTTCTAAAACGTGTTTAAAATAGCTTAATTCTTCAATACTCTTCCATAAAAAACTGAAGTAATGTCGGACATAAAGCAGAGTATTTGTATTTTCCAACAACTTTCATAATTTTTGTAAAATAAACTTCATTAATGTAGAAGTCCTTTCGGTTTGAAAAAAAAAGTTACTTTAAATCTTCCAGACACTTATTTAAACGCACATTTTCTCCACATTGCATCGGCGTAGAAAGCTTAGACTGATTTGAGAAAATTTTACCACATTCAAAACAGTTCACTTACATATTTACCATAGCACACTACCACCTAGCATTGAAACTTCCGTGTTGACGAGTAAAACAATGATTGGCGCATCACCTAGTGACCGGGCGCCTAACTATATATGCATGGCGCGAAATTCAAAAGTTTAGTAATATTATCTAGGATTGTGAACTCATTTTAAAGCAAAGGAAAATCGATATAATCCTAAAATAACAAGAAAAATCCTTATCCTATACGATAATAAATATTTTTCGTATACTTTTTGGGTTTTCTTGTTATGTTGAGACTATATTTATTTTACATTACATTAAAATGCCAAAGTGGTTAACAAAATTAAAGAATAATATATAGAATAAAATCTTTATTTATAAAAATATTACAAGAAATGTTATATGTGTTACAAGAAATATTAATAATACAAGCCAAGTGTACTATAATTTAGTTTTCTTAATGTGTGGCAAGAACTGGCCAGTATTTAAATAATTGTTTTGTCTTAGTATGTCAAGTTTTATGTAAATAGAAGCCTAATTCTGCAAAAGGCCTTTTACTACAATTTTATTCTCATAATTCGCAAAGAATTCAAACATTGGTATATAACATTCAAGATTTTTTTAGAAAGCAATGAATCCAAAGATAAATCCCTAGAAGACAAAGATAAGTACATGCTTGTAATAAATTTAGTCTATAATTACATAAGCGAAGCAATCAATGGGGAAAATCAATTGCTTTTTTCACACATACTCTCACAGATTCAGAATGAAAACATGCAAATGCATTGAAGTATTAAAAAAATGCAGACATTATCTGGTAGGAAAGCAATTCAAACCAATCACAGATTAAATCACTATTTTGTTTATATAGAATGCTGGTATATATAAAATCTGACAAGGAGAACTAGCTTTACTTCACAAGAATTTATTAAGTATCTACACTCTAAAGGAATATTTCAAGTAGAACAACACCATATAATCATGAAGGAAATGGTTAAGTTGAAAGATACAATGAGTTATATAGAAATTGGTGAATCTAGCATTAAAAACCAAATATTTAGACATCACTAAATGAAAAACTGCTTTACCAGGAGCTCTGTACTATATAAGAAGTTTACTATTGAATTGTTATATTATTGAATCACACTAATGATGAAGATGAAGTCCAAATAACACATTAGAGAATTCCACTACTAAATCAATGCCAGATGTGACAGAAAATTTACCTGTTCAAAAACCTGATGATAATTATGAACCAAGATTGGAAAATTCAGATTTTCAATCTAGCTGTAAATCAGCTGGAGCTAAAAATAAACCAAGATAGTTGCAATATTTTGTTCACAAATAGGGACGGGTAAATGTAGTATAATTTAGTGTTCTTAATGTTGTGACAAGAACTTGTCAGTAATTAAATAATTCTTTTGGAATTCTAATGTCAAATTAAAGCCTAATAAGCAACATATAGCCGTCAGACATTCCGAGTTCTTTGTAGTACTTACATCCTAATTTAATAACACACACTACCAGCGGCCAGTAGGAACTCTTACTGTCTGGCATTCTACTCCCAGAAAAGACAGAACTCAAGATCTCTACTAAGTTGGAAACAGAAAAATTAAATGATTTAGTTCTAGAAAGAACTTTATATACATTTATATGATAATATTTTAGTCATATTAAAACCTATAAACCCAACAGTTAGCTCTACGATTCTAAGATCCAGCAGTATAAAGATGGAAAAATAACATTAAAAATAAAAAAATATGTAAAGTATTACCTAGTTACAATAAAAACATGAAGTATTTTACAAAGTTATGTTTCTAAACTCTATGTTACCAGTAACTCTTTTCTACTAATATTTATATAATTATTGAGAGACATATTAAATACATTTAGATTTAGGTTGTTCTACAAAATGGAACATTAAAAGTAAGTACATAGATGAGACAAACCATGGTAATATGGTACTCTAAGACCAATCTCACTTACAAGAGAGAGACAGATTCCTCCTCGCACTTAACAGGCAAGCTCATAGACCTCTTCATATGATAGTGTAGTCATGATCTGCTAATCTAATCCAACTTTGAAAGGCGCACACCTGTAGAAATTATGTCGAACCCTCTCTAAGGTGATGATTGTTAAGATAGTTGTTGAACCACCACCTACAAAATAATTCAAATAGTAAGCAAGTAAGACTGATTTTATAATATATAATTTTAGGTTAAATTTATAATTAACCAATTTTATAAGTAAAAGGTCACATACATACATATATTGGCATAATAGTTCTTACCTGGTGCTGGTAAAAACAAACTCAGAAGGGCTGTTCTCGTAATAGCGGTGTGTCCAACATTAATTATATCATCCTCTTTAAAATGACTAGAGCATACACGAAAATTGTTATAAATAGTTTCTGTTGCAGCATTCTCTAATTAGGGCTTTTAACAGCATTCACCCATTTATCAAACATATCTAGTGCTTGCCTAGTATCCATGCAATTTGGAATACATCTTTTTGTTCAGTTCTTCGTCTCTACATTGTTATTCCATGTCATGTAATGTGTTCGATTCCATAATAAAAAATCGTCTAAAATTTTACCTTTTTGCACTACTTATATAAAAAAATTTAAACTATAAAATAAATTATAAAAATAAAACAAATACAAATATGGCGCCGTAGATTCAACTTTTGATTTGACCACACGCACACTCCCTCCGCGTAGAAAATAGACTAGCAGCGCCACCATACGAATGGCGATGGGCGCCTAACTCCGAACGTGATTTGACATTGCCTATCCCTGTTACCAATCTAGGTGTAATTTTATCTATGATATTTACTAATTACGTAAAGAGGGAACTATTCAAAACAATTTTTATTCGACAAGACAAGATACCGCTTAACATTTTCATTTGAAGGTTCGAAATATTTCGAATGCAGTCGTTTCGCACATGCGCAGTTGACGGATCGGCTCTCTGTAATAAATCGCTCTCATGTCGGTTGATTTACCCAATGACGTATAATATATAGACTACGCAGTCCCCTATTTTCGCTATAGAATCGAGTGTCCGAAAGATCTCGGCTCAAGGTTGAAGGTATGTTTATTAGAACAGCGGCGTGCTCATTATATGTTAATGACAATAATTTTTTTTTTAATTAAAATTAAATATTTATGATTTCTTTTTGTTTCCGTCTATAAGAGAAATAATTATTTTGATAAAATAGTATGGCATTTTACTAAAATAGTAAGTAAATAACTATCAACAATTTAAAATAAAATTTGCTTGTCACACAAAATGGAGTACGTCCATGATGTTTTCAAACACAAGATCAACTTCGTGATGCTTCGTAAGAAATCATGAACTTCGTGCATCTTCGTATCAAAACAATAAACAATAACAAAGGTATTCATGTTTTGGACACTTTTTAAAGCGTTCACCGAGTCTATATATTATACGTCATTGGATTTACCGAAACTGCTATGTCGAAATTTTTTTGTTCCATGTTTGACATTTGCGGCTATAATCAGCTTGTACTTTCAGTGAACTCAACCACAGACCACTGTGGGAGGTAGGTGATCTGTGAACTCAACCCATCGAGCAATAAGACAAAAGAGGGAATCTAATCGTTATATAAAGGAGACCAAAAAAAGTGGCCTCTGATGGCGGACACATCCGGAAATGCAAAGGCGCCAAATTTAAATTTTTCGACACTTATCAACAGTAGCTATATAATATTTTTCAAAATGTGTCTTAGACGAGAAAGTTTTAATTAATTATTAATGATAAGAGTCTAAAATGCGACACAATTGTTAAAAAACTTCAATATAAATAAGATTTCATGTGACACTTGGGACAAACAATAACATAACCCAACTAAATTTGATGTCAAACAAGGAGAGAGACTCTCTATCCTTGTCTAAAGTGGCCTCTCAAGATGGCACTTCCTGTCTATCAATATGTTTACCCCTTCTACCTTTACATTCCCTCTTTTGTCTTATTGCTCGATGACTCAACCCCATCGAGCAATAAGACAAAAGAGGGAATCTAATCGTTATAAAAAGGAGACCAAAAAAGTGGCCTCTGATGGCGGACACATCCGGAAATGCAAAGGCGCCAAATTTAAATTTCATGACACTTGACAATAATCATACAGTGGTGTAGGGGTTCTAATTTATCTATTTATTTATTTTATATTACATAATATTGTATATT